AATCCCGTTCCCGCTCCCAAAATCCCGCTGCCGGGACACGCCGAGTCCTACAACCCGCCCCCGGAATTCCTGCTCAGCCCCGAGGAGGTGGGAACGCCGGGAATGTCGGGAATTCCGGGAGATCCCAGGGGGCTGCTCCGTGGAGGGGATCGGGGGCGTCACGTTGAGTCGGGAAGGGTTTTCCCGGGAATTGTTTGGGATGTTTCATCCCTGGGGTTGCTCGGGGGGGTGAGTTTTGGGAATTGTCGCCGATTTGTCCCATTCCCGTTCCTATTCCCATTCCATCGCCATCCTCATTCCCATGCCCATCATTCCCATCCTATTCCCATTCCCGTTTTTCCCAGTCCCATTCCCATTTTTCCCATTCCCTTCCCATCCCCATTCCCACTCCTATTGCCATGCCCAATCCTATCCTCATTCCCAATCCCATTCCCATCTCATCCCCATTCCCATTCCATTCCATTCTTATTCCCAGTTGAATCCATCCCATTCCTTTTATCCCATTCACATTCCCATCCTCATTCCCATTTTTCCCATTCCCATCCCCATCCACATCCCCATTCCCATTTTTCCCATTCCCCTTCCTATCCCCATTATCCCATTCCCCCATTCCCATTCCCAGTTGGATTCATCCCATTCCCAATCCTATTCCCATTATCCCATTCACATTCCCCAATTCCCAGTTGAATCCATCCCATCTCCATTCCCATCCCCATTTTTCCCATTCCCGTTTTTCCCATTCCTATTCCCATTATCCCATTCCCCCATTCCCATTCTCAGCTGGATCCATCCCATCCCCATTCCCATTCCCATTCCCATTCCCATCTCCATCCTCATTCCCATTTTTCCCATTCCCATCCCCATTCCATTCCATTCCATTCCCATTGCCATTCTCAGTTGGATCCATCCCATTCCCAATGCCATCTCCATCCCCATTTCCCTTTTTCCCAATCCCATCCCCATTCCTATTCCCATTTTTCCCATTCCAAATCCCATCCCCATTCCCATTTTCCCCATTATCCCAATCCCCATCACCATTCCCTTTTTTGCCATTATCCCATTCCCCATTTCCATTCCCATTTTCCCCATTTCCATTCCCATTTTTCCCATTTCCCATCCCATTCCTATCCCCATTATCCCATTCCCCCATTCCGAGTTGGATCTATCCCATTTCCAATCCCATTGCCATCCCCATTCCCATTTTTCCCATCCCCATCCCCATTCCCGTTTTTCCCATTATCCCAATCCCATCCCCATCCCCATTTTTCCCAATCCAATTTCCATTTTTCCCTTTCCCAATCCCATCCCCATTCCCATTTTTCCCAATCCCATTCCCATTTTTCCCATTATCCCAATCCCATCCCCATTCCCATTTTCCCCAATCCCATTCCCATCCCCATTCCCATTTTTCCCAATCCCATTCCCATTTTTCCCATTATCCCATTCCCCATCCCCATTCCCATTTTTCCCATTCCCATTTTTCCCATCCCCATTCCCATTTTTCCCAATCCCATTCCCATTTTTCCCATTATCCCATTCCCCATCCCCATCCCCATTTTCCCCATCCCCATCCCGTTTTTCCCATTATCCCAATCCCATCCCCATTCCCATTTTTCCCATCCCCATCCCCATTCCCATTTTTCCCAATCCCATTCCCATTTTTCCCATTATCCCAATCCCATCGCCATTCCCATTTTTCCCAATCCCATTCCCATTTTTCCCATTATCCCATCTCCATTTTTCCCATTCCCATTTTTCCCATCCCCATCCCGTTTTTCCCAATCCCATCCCCATTCCCATGATCGCGTTCCCATCCCCATTCCCGCTCTCCTCACCGTTCCCGGAATTCCCGCAGCAGCTGGCCTGGGAGCAGCAGGATCCGGCCGAGCGCCGCCCGAGCTTCATCCCGCGGAAATTCCGGAGCCTGCGCGCCGTTCCCGCCTATTCCCGCTTCATCCACGAGCGCTTCGAGCGCTGCCTCGACCTCTACCTCTGCCCCCGGCAGCGCAGGATGCGGGTGGGCATCCCGGGAAAACGGAAAAACAGGAATGCTGGCAGCGCGGCCGTGCTCAGATCCCGGAAAAACGGGAATGCCGGGAGCGCGGCCGTGCCCAGATCTGGGAAAACGGGAATGCCGGCAGCGCGGCCGTGCCCGGATCCCGGAAAAACGGGAACGCTGGCAGCGCGGCCATGCTCAGATCCGGGAAAAACGGGAATGCCGGGAGCGCGGCCGTGCCCAGATCCGGAAAAACGGGAACGCCGGGAGCCCGGCTGTGCCCGGATCCCGGAAAACGGGAACGCCGGGAGTGTGGCCGTGCTCAGATCCGGGAAAACAGGAATGCCGGGAGCGCGGCCATGCCCGGATCCTGGGAAAAATGGGAATGTGGCCATTCCCAAATCCCGGGAAAAAACGGGAATGCAGTCATCCTCGAATCCCGGGAAAAACCGGGAGCGCGGTCACTCCCAGATCCTGGGAAAACCGGGAACGTGGTCACTCCCAGATCCTGGGAAAACCGGGAATGTGGTCACTCCCAGATCCTGGGAAAACCGGGAACGCGGTCACTCCCAGATCCCATGGCCACTTTGGTTGATTTTGGGCGGATTTTTGTTGTTTCTGGGTCGATTTTTGCCGTTTTCGAGCCGATTTTTCGGGATTTTCTCCCAAATTCCCTGAAAATTCCCATTTTTTGGGAAGCACCATGGAGTCTCCAGCTCTGAGGGCTCAGGGGCTTCTCCAAGGGCACTTTGGGTCAATCCTGGGTGGATTTTCAATCCCGGGGATTCCCGGCCGGAGCCGGGAACGGTTTCCCGGGAATCTCCGGAGCGTCGGGAGCAGCTGGGATCGATCGGCGCCGTGTCCGTCCCGCAGGTCAACGTGGATCCCGAGGATCTCATTCCCAAACTTCCCCGGCCGAGGGATCTGCAGCCCTTCCCCACCACCCAGGCCCTGGTGAGGGATTTTCGGGAATATTCCCCCGGGATTTGGTGGAATTCCGGGATTTGGGGGCCTGGGGAAGCAGGGCAGGGCCTGAGGGTGAGGATTCCTGGGAAAAGCTGGGAAATGGGGCTGATCCCAGCTGGAATTCCTGCGGCTCCGGGAAATGTTCCCGGGATTTCCTGGAATACGGGGCTGGGGAGGATCCCCTTTTCCTGGGATTTTCGGGAATGGCTCCAGAGAAATTCCCGGGAGCGGCTGATGGATCTTGGGGTCTCATCCCAGAGAAAAGTGGGATTGAGGGGATCCAGGGTGGGATCTGCTCCCAGGGAATGGGGACAGGATCTGGGGAACGGCCTCGGGTTGGGATTTTTGGGAATATTCCTCTGGAAAGGGCTGGAATTCCCATTGCTGTGGATGTGGCCGGGCTGGGATCCCCATTCCCAGCTGGAATTCCGGGCTGGGATCCCCATTCCCAGGATTTCCCATCCCTGTGGATGTGGGATGGGGTGGCTTTGGCCGTGCTCCCTCCAGATCCCAAATTCCTCGTCCCTTCCCAAAATCCCAACTTCCTCCTCCTTCCCGAGGCTCCCGGGGATCTCCTGGGATTTGGGATTCTCCCTCATTCCCGGTTTTTTCCCAGATTTACCGCGGCCATTCCAGCCTGGTGCGGACCCTGAGCGTCTCCCCCAGCGGGCAGTGGTTGGTGTCAGGTACGGATCCGCCCCCGGATCGGGAATTCCCGGGATAATCCCACGGATCCACAGCCCAGCTCCACCCGGGGCCAGCTTTGGGATCGGGGAATTCTGGGATTTCCCCTCTGGAAAATCCCAACCTCGGCTCTGGGGAGGATTCTGGGATTGGCCTCGTCCTGCGGCGCCTCTGGAAAACTCCGGAGCTTTTCCAGCTGCCCTGGGGTCCCAGCCCCATTCCCGTTATCCCGTTCCCAATCCTGTTATCCCATTCCCATTCCCATTATCCCATTCCCAATCCCATTATCCCATTCCCATTCCCGTTATCCCATTCCCAATCCCATTATCCCATTCCCATTATCCCGTTCCCATTCTCCCGTTCCCATTCTCCCATTCCCATTCTCCCATCCCCATTCTCCCGTCCCCATTCCCATTCTCCCGTTCCCATTCTCCCATCCCCATTCCCATTCTCCCATTCCCATTCTCCCGTTCCCGTTCTCCCGTTCCCGTTCTCCCGTCCCCATTCCCATTCTCCCATTCCCATTCTCCCGTTCCCATTCTCCCATTCCCATTCTCCCGTTCCCGTTCTCCCGTCCCCATTCCCATTCTCCCATTCCCATTCTCCCATCCCCATTCTCCCATTCCCATTCTCCCATCCCCATTCTCCCATCCCCATTCCCATTCTCCCATTCCCATTCTCCCGTTCCCGTTCTCCCGTCCCCATTCCCGGTCTCCGGTGATCCCGCCGGCAGGCTCGGACGACGGCACGGTGCGTTTCTGGGAGGTGAGCACGGCGCGCTGCCTGCGCAGCATTCCCGTCGGATCCGTGGTCCGGAGCGTGGCCTGGAACCCCAACCCCAGCATCTGCCTGGTGGCCGTGGCCCTGTGAGTCCCCGGGATCATTCCCGGATTTCCCGGGAATTCCAATCCTGGAACCCCAACCCCAGCATCTGCCTGGTGGCCGTGGCCCTGTGAGTCCCCGGATCATTCCCGGATTTCCCGGGAATCCCAACCCCTGGAACC